TGGTTAATTATCAAATCATTATCTCATTTTTATCATAAAATACTGAACAGCAATAGGTTTGTAATAATATTCAAAAGCAAATAATATAATATTAATAATGATTTAAAATTGGCATTAACAATATTTACAAATAATATTAAATATATACAATAATTGTTATTACTATAATCATTAATATAAAAAACATAATAAGTCATCTGATTTAATAAAAACATGTCTATAAAATTGCCATAAACTTTTAATAATAATGTGATTAATTACTAATTACATTTTTTAAATTTAAACATTAAATTTAAATCATTAAGTATTTAAATATATATACTTAAAAATTATTATATATTTCATAATAAAAATTATAATGCTTATTACAGTTACAATAAATTCTATTATTTTTTAAATATTATAGATACAATATTATAATATTATATACATATATTTATATACTGTATATGATATTAATATTTATATAAAAATATCAATAATAATATTTATACATTTTAACCTTATTTAATGTTTATTTACAAATAATTTCCAGTATAATAATATAGCATTAGAATATGCAGTAATTCATACGTATAAAAGAAAAATTAATATTTAACTTATGCTTAAAAAACATCTTTGATTTTTAAAATAAAAACATATTCATTATATTATTGAGTTTCATTGAATTATAATAAATTGAGTCACAATAAAAGTATAAAAATAATAAAATGCAGAAATGATGAGTTAGATATTTAAATTCTTTATATAAATATAAATATATATATCAAAAATATCTATATATTAATACATTATATTGTTTTAATACTATATATAAGTAAATAAAATATTTCATTTGCATTGTAAGTATAGTTTGGCCATCAAATGTCATAATTATATTTATAAAAGTAAATAATTTGTTAAAATTATAAACATAAAAACTAATTGATATTTATTATAATATGTGTTTACTAATAATATACCATTAATATTATAATTTGCACATTTTTATTTATTATTCATAGTATTTTAAATAAATGATATCGCAATTATCGTTATATCATATCATTGATGACTTTAATTCGTATAAAGCAAAACAACTTTTTTTTGTAAATAAAAAATAATTAACAATTTAAATTTGATTTGTTATTTTTATAACTATACTATACTGTACATTAATTATTAAATTATAATGTATAATAAGCATTTATATATTTGCAAAGTCAATGAATTTACAAATATATAGTGTTTTCAAATATAACGTAAATTGAAAATATTTTATTAAAATCAAGCGATTTAGATGTCATTAGAGAAACAAAAGATTAAATATAATAAACGCACGAATTGTATGTTAATAATAAATACAGTATAAAAAAGATTTAATACTTTCATTTAGTTTTAATTTTTAAAATATGTTTTAAATATAAATAATGTAAATTCAAATACAATGGATAGATGCGGATGAACTTCAAGAGTGTTCTCATTTAATGGCTTACCATTTGCTAATAATATGATATTTGTTTTAAAAACAGTAAAAGTTAACATTGAAATACTATTAATGACAATTAAAATGGTTTAAATTAAATCATCATTTAATATAAAACAATTCATGAATATTTGTTTAGATTTTGCAAAAGTAACGAATCTATTATGAAATCTATTTAAACAAACATTTTTATTCAATTATAAATTATATTATTTTATGTTTTATTTAAGTTTAAAATAATAGTAATTTATTATATTTTATTTATAATGTTACTAATATATAATTGAATCAATTAAGTTAATTCAACAATAATTTTAATTAATAATTTTATTATTAATTAACATAAGTTTTTAATATTTGTTTTGTTGGTGCTTTGAGATAAAAATAAAACCAAAAAAAATAATTAAAATAATAAAGATGTATTAGTTTGTAAGATATAAATATATTATGATAGCATAATTGCAATATTATAGTTTACGATAACAAAAATATTAATTTAATTTAAATAATATTAATCATTCATATTAATCACACTTTAAAAAGTTTTCCCAATATATTAAAAACTTGATTACTATTGTTGTGCAAAACATTTGTGACAAAATTTAATATTTTTAGTAAACTATTACAGATAATGTCAATTCATACTAATGTATTTATAACATGTAATTATAGTTAATTATTTTTATTTTAAATCTTTAAATAATAATCAATCAATCAAAATATAATATAAATAAATATTCTAAAATATCCTAAAACAACAATAATAATATTTAATATTTAAAAATATATAATTTATAAGTAATTAAAATATAAGTTTTTATATCACATAAAAGGTCAAGTTCTTCAATAATTAGAGGATATAATTTTTTATTATTTGTGTTAAAATTAGTTTTTATATAATAACTAACTTTAAACTCACAATTGATTTTTTATCTTCCTTAACGAAAGCAATTAATTATTTTTTTTAATTTTACTGTTTTTATTGCTGTTTATATTAATATATTACGAATTTATAATTATATATATAAGATGATGATAAGAAGGATATTTAAAAATATAATTTATTAAATAACATTAATGTTATTTGAATCATTATCAAATTTATAGCATTAAATGATTTAAACTAAAAAAAATAATATTAATTGCTTGTAATCGAGTTATCTAATGATAAATAATTTAATTGTAAGTAATTAATTATCACTTATTTAGAATATATTTAAAAATAATTAAATTTAAAAATCTGATAAACTTATGCTCATCATTTTAAAAATACAATATTAAATGTTTATACATTAATAGCATATAATTTTGGTAACAATTAATAAGTAAAAGTTAGAAGAAAATATAGAGAAAAATTAGTGCAAAATTGTGTGGACATTGAACTCAAAATATATTCATAAATTGTGTGCGAATCGGATGATACCTAAGTGTAAGGTATTTCATAAAACGCTTTGGGCTCTCATAACACTTGAATTGTTTTACCATTTATTATGCTTTTGAAAAACAAGTCTCTCTTTCCTTCCCTACCTTTCCCTACTCTCTCCTTATTAAATGCTCTCTATTTTACAGACAAAATGCTATACAATGTTATATAACTGTTTGAACACATAATTAATTAATCAATTTTTTATTTCATCAAAATTTTTAATAATATTAAGATTGCATTATATATTAAACTAATTAATTATACATAATTTTGTTTTTATTTTAAGCTTAATTTATATCTTTAGTAATATAAGAATTTTTTTAGATGTCAATTGAGGTGAATATCATTTAGAAATAAAATATAAAAAACTAAAGACTATTAAAAGTATTTTCAATATATAAACATAGATTTACATAATGTTTGATCCAATCTTCCCGGAAAACCCCACCGCCGACCCCATCCCTCCCTTATTAGAAATATTATACATCAATAGTAATTGAATTTCCTATAATTTTTTTTGTATATACAGTATATAAAATAGAGATATTATTAACAGTTTTTATTATTTATGCATAATATCATGTATTCATTTATTTTATTGACTATAATTAAGGTATAAATCAATTAAAAGTACTGACAATAAGTTGAGATTTTATAAATTATTTTGTTATATATATATAAAGGATGTTAACTATAAACAGAGTTCACTATTGAAAGGTTAATATAATACTTAATTAATGCAATAAAATAAAAGTTGTTTTTTCCTGTCATTTAAATATAGATTTGCATTAATGTATTGCAATATATTTTATCTAAACATTCAAATCAAAACAATTTATTGGAGTAAATGATCGCAAAATTATTCAATCAATGCATCAAAACATTTAGTAATTTTTATGTAAATTGTATGGACATTGAAATGTACCGAAAAAATTATATAAATGTTTTTTTCAGTTATATTTTCATCTTTTATCGCAATCATTATTCACAATAAAAAACTTTCAATTCATATAAACACTAAAACTGTATTTATTATTAAAATAAAAATATTAATACATTTAGTTTATCATAACATATGTAAGTCATTAAAATTCAATGTTAATTATCGGTTATATAACTATTGAATGATAACATTAATGTTAAAACTATTTTCAATTGACATATCAATTAATATGTAAATATTTTTGAATTTTAATTATCAATTTGAAACTAATTTGACAAATATATGCATAAAAATTAAATACAAATATATACCGGTATTACAAATTGAAATAAGTTTTATACATCTATTGTAATAATTGTCATTAAAATGCATGGATTAAAAAACATCTATTAATAAATATAATACTTATATGATATATACTAGAGGTATGAACCGAAAAGATCTTAAAACCCAAACCAAATCAAACCGAAGTTAAGTTACAATCAGGGTTTTAAGGAAATAAATGCCTGGAAATGCCAAAATAGATGCCATTATAATGTATTAATTATTTATTTACGTTATTCTACTTTAAACTAATATTACATTAAAATTATAACATCAAAATTCAGATAATTTGATATAATATCATATTTATATTTTAGTTAATTTGATAAACAATTTTTAAAATTAAAATAAATATTACGTTTATTTTGATAACAAATATTCAGTATAATTAATATATTTAAAACTGAAACCGTTTTTAGTACCGAAACATCGAAACCGAAACCTTACTAAAACTGTTTCGGTTCCGGTTTCAGTCGGTTTTAAAAAACAACTCTAATATATACTGTACTTATCATTGCTATTGCATTGCGTTATAAAGTACTGTAAAGTGAGTCAAAACACATTAAATGCCATTCAATAGACTATTGAATAAAAAAACTGTATTTTATATGTACTGTAATTGCAAACAATAATTGCATCACACGATTGTATACATTAGTCATTCAATATAAACATCAATAACGTAATTAAGGGAACAATATATGCAATAATGTGTTAAATGATTAAATCGATTGTTTGTATGACGTTTTTGATGACCAAAACAGGTCTCTTTGCCCCACATTTAGACCAATAAGAGAGCGACACATATGTTAAGCAAATGTTTATAAAAGTGTGACAATTGTTGTGAACATTGATTACAATGTTTTACACTAAACTCTAAACATTTATTCAGTTTATTATTATTATTATTATTATTATAGTTATTATTATCCATCACTTCATCATTCATTTGATCCAAATTGAAGACAATGCAGGACTTGACTCACAAAAAGATATTAATAGCAAAAGTGTTACCAATGATGGCTTCAAATATCAACACTAATAATAAACAAAAGTTCATCGAAGTTAAGATCAAAGATTTAAAGGCAATGACAACCAGATGTTTGACCAGTGGTCAGCTATCGGCTGACAAACCGGTGGACAAACCAAAGCGTAAAAGAGAAAAGTTGGACCACTTGACCATCGATGAGAAAATTAAAAGAAGGTTTGATTTGATTAACTATTTGATGCCAAATATATCTAATATATTGTGATTTTCATCGATAGGAAACTTCACAACAGAGCGGCCGCACAGTTGGCCAGAGATCGGAAAAAATCTAAAATGAGTGATTTGTACGATAAAGTTGAATGTCTTACTCGAGAAGTATGTCTTATTTAATATAAATTAAAAACAATACAATTATATGTAATTATTATAATTTTTATGATTAATAGAAACAAATCCTTTTGAACACAAATGAAGAGTTGATTGCAAGACATGAAGCTTTGGAAATAGAGAACAGAGAACTAAAGGAAAGGTTATCATCGATGAGCCAACAGTGCGTCAAATCTGTAGAGGAAAGCGATTGTAACGTTGAGTCCGCAGAACTCATTAATGTTTCTCAGCCGCAGAAACTCGCGACGATTGCCACCAAAACAGATATGAAAGCTGTGTCTCACTCGATGATGCCATTCATCTCTTGGTTAACGGTTCTGAATCTGATTCAGTGCTTCAATTCCTTCAGCAATGTTCACAAGATTTACTCGACTCTGAAATTACAATCTCAGACAATGGAGAAAACTGTCAAACAGGAGAACCAATTGAGTCAAACGATATCCCAATCCCAGTGTCGGATGTCAGCACTCAAGACGACTATACAGACTTTGAATTCTCTCAATACTTGAAGCTAAACACCAAACCCGTGAGTCCGATGTCCTCTCAAAGCGATTCTGGCTATGAGTCGGACAATTCACATATTGTTTTGTCTGACAATAGCATTGATGTGACCACTGATATGCAATGGAAGGAAACACTATCCGAGCTCTTTCCGGATCTCATCTAAATTATTGTCTTCAAAATCATTCATTTATTAATATATATATTCATTTAAAAATTAACATTTATGTTCATTATGTTCAATATTTTCTATTTAAAAATATAACCATTAAATATACAATAATTTAAATTATTTGTTGTAAATAAATCGTAAAAATAATTATTCAATAAATTGTTTATTTGTATCTATCGGTACTGTGAGACCAAAGTGGTGTCCGTTTGCCTATAAAGGCTTCAATGCCTTCCTGAGCGTCCCTTAAGCCTAAGTTAGTGACCATAACTTGAGATCCGTTACAATAAGCCGTTTCCAAGTTTTGGTTAATTTGTGAATAAAAAAAATGTTTTCCCAAAGCTATTACTGATTTACTTTTGCAAAGTATAGCATTGACCACATTCTGGGTCTCACTATTGATGTCTGATTCAGAAACCACTCGACTAACTAATCCGCACTTAAGAGCTTCATAGGCCGTAATGGTATTGCCGGTCATCAACATATAAGCGGCGGCTTTCAAGTTAACGCTTCGGGATAGAGGTATGGCAGGTGTCGAACAAAATAGACCAACACTAGCACCGGGAGTACTAAACTTACTTTTGTCACTCGCAATGACAATATCAGATGCGGCCACCAATTGACAACCGGCCGCTGCGGCCAAACCATTCACTTGACATATGACCGGGACATTCAATTTCTGAAGAGATAGCATCAGTTGACCGCAACTGTCAAATACTTTTCTGTGGTATTCTTCACTTGTTTGTGTTGTCAACTCTTTGAGGTCGTGTCCCGACGAAAATACCGGTCCATTAGAGCTAACAACAACACAACGAAGTGATGGACTGTCGACAATCACTTCCCGCAACCTTTCAATCATTGCCAGAGACAATACATTCCGTTTCTTCGGGTTATTCAACACCACATGTCTGACACCGTCGGACTCATTGACCAAAAGTGTTGATAACTGCGATGTCGTGTGAAGTGAACGCACAATACGTGTCGTCAAAGTTTTGGTCACTAAACCAAACATTTGTCGCATTCGTGGGTTAAGTCACTTAAACTTAAGCCAAGTCTTATCATATGATTTATTGACTAAACATTACATAACATTGAATTCAATTCATTAGTAATTTATATAAACTTATTGCTATAATACTGTAGTAATAATAGTATTAACAGTATTATACAGTTTTGTACACACTTTGTACAGTCAGTGTATAATACATAGTGTAAAGTACTGTAGTATTCATTTATAACTGCATTACAGTATTATCACTATTAATAGTCTGTCTATAAAAATGTGCTAAAAATATACATTAGCTTAAAGTCAATCACTATAAAAGCTAATAAAATATAAATAAATAGTTAATTCAAATTTATTTTTATTAATAAAAATTTATTAAACAATTTTTGTTGTTAAATAATATTAGATATTTTAATATTTTATTTTGATATAATTTGTAATATAAAGAAATTATTTTTATTATATTTTAGTAAAATTATTACAGTATTATTATTATTATTACTGTAAAATTAAATTATAATTTATTTTTCATGATTCAAAAGGGTATTTTATAAAAATCTACATGTACATAATAATATAAATTAACTAATATGCATTATGTTTATAGCAGGGTTAAGCAAGGTTTTAGATTTTAGAGGGGTATAGGACAAGTCAAATGACAAAAATTTCGATAAAACTACTTTTATTGCATTTTTTTAACGTCAAGAGAAAATTCCCAATAAATTCTATTATTTCTAAAAATATTTTTTTATTAATTATATAAAGACATAAAACTAAAATATTAGTAATTAAAACTTTAATTTTTAAACTTGAAATAATTTTAGGGGTCATTTCTCCTTGTTTTTAAGCTACAATTTTTCAATTTGGTCAAAAAAGTATGGGGGGGGGGGTAAATCCAAAAAATCACGATCTTAGGGGTATTTTGGTTTTACCCCATACCCCTTTTGATTAACCCTGATTTATAGCTATGTAATGATATAAATTAATGATTATTTTATTTAATAGTAGCTTAACTTATAAATTGATAGACAGATGTGAAAATTAATATTAAAGGAGTTGCGAAATATTTTTTTACAATTTTAAATATTAGTTATATAACTAAGCAAATGACAACACATCTATCATATGTATAGCCCCGGGAGGAAATGTATTTGCATTATAGACCAAAATGTAGTATTTATATACATTAAGATTAACTTTATTCGCCTAAAATATTTTTCAATTAATTTGAAGACATTGGATAAAATGTGACAAATGTTGACTATATAGGACATTATGGATGAGATGATAATAAATTAACTAAAAAAATAGACAAATAAATGATTTCTCAGATAAAAATCTCAAATAATTTAAATAATTGTGAGTTCTTTGGCATCACTGAAGAGTAGAGCAATGATATTAAATTGGATGAAATATTGAGGGAATTCCCAACTCTGTTAAAGTCATACATAACTCGTGTTTTTTTGCAATGAGATGTCATATCATCAGTGAATCAGTGGTTGGATTGCATGCAAAACGTGGGACACAAACCAAACTAACGAATGAATGCCTTAATAAATATTAGTTTGACTTTCAGTCAGTGGATCTCTCAATCAAATGAGTTCACAGCCATACCATTGATCCGACTGTCTATTGACTTCTTGTGCCACAAAATCATCGAAAACATACATTCCTTGGGCTTGAAGTCTCCAAAAAATGAATTGAAAATAATATATTTAAATTTTTTATATAATAATATACTTTAGATTCACTTTTTAATGAAAAATAACCCAAAGCTATGAACTTTTCTGCAAAATGTATTTAATTCCCGTTTTAAGAATTTATTAATTATTAGAATTTCGTATAAAAAAAATATATATATATATATATATTCTCAAAATAAGTCTATCATATATTTTTGCTAACTATTATTAATGACTATATAAGAAAAAAATATATAATGATAAAAATTAAAATAATTTTTATTTTTATATTATCAATATATACCTGAAGTTTTGACAATTGCCATACTGTACAGTATATTGTAAGCCTAAACATTGATGCACAAATGTATACAGTAATACAGTAAAATTACAGTAAAATTACAGTAAAATTACAGTAAAATTACAGTAAAATTACAGTAAAATTACAGTAACATTACAGTAAAATTACAGTAAAATTACAGTATATATTTTTTATGTATATAACGTTATACAATATATAGATACACTATAGTTTATGATAAAGTAATTGTAGACTAACTAAACTTATTTGATGTAATTTAGCATAAAAACGGGTACTTTATCATTGATATTGTTGTACAATATATAACTTAGAAACTAAATATCTATAAGTCTGCAGTATTTGTTGCTTATTTTAAAGGCTATCATTAAAAATAATTAATGGCAGTGTTTTCTGTGTTGAAAATTAATTTTATTTTTCAATATCGGATAATTTAAATAATGATAAAAAAATTCAACATATTTTCATATAAAAACTAAAATTAATTAATTAACAAATTATTTACTGTAAAATACAGAATAATATTAAAACAACTATTGATAAGTAAAAAAGTTTGGGGTTTAAAATTTACATTACAATAAAATATTATTATATTTAAAGTAATTTATAATAATTATCAACAATATTAGTAATTTTATTTTTAAATTTTATTTATGACTATCAAAAATCACCCCAAATTATAGGTTTACTGAATAGTGATCACAATATATCAATAAAATTATTTGATAAAAATAGACAATTAGTGAATTTTGATTTACATTATAACATAATAACAAATTAAAAAACATTAATAATCTTATAACAAGAATCTATAATTAACAACCATTTATAATAAAACTTTCTCCCAGTTTATTGTTTGTTTCGTATTAATTTTTAGATAAAGCAATTTTAATTTTTTAAAATTAAATCGTAAAAATTGAATTAAAAATGAATTATCGTTTTAAATATCTTATTAATTATAAAAATAATTATTTTATGAGTTTGTGATAACAAATGTTTGAACAAATTGTTGTATTATATAATAATTTATTTTAAATGAATTAATTGAAGCAATGATTGACTTAACATGTGTTTTGTGTGCGAATTATTCACAACTAAATGTTTAAATATACAGTATATTCATGTATATAATAATTTATATCTTTTACTATCAATAAAATAATATATAGATATACTATATATATATATATAACAATATCTGAGTCCAATCCCTATTTCATTGCATTTGATCATATTTTTAATATTTTAAATAATACACATTTAATACTTATATAATATTTTGTTATCTTAAATGCAATAAAACTCAAGTTTTGTATCAATTATTGCTTTTGTTTAGACCCTTTCAAAACTTATAGTTAATTAAAATCGTCCAAAAATAAGGCCTTATCGACAACCAAAAGATCTTATTTATCGACTATAATAATAACATTATTTTTGTAGTTAATTAATACATTAAATTATTTATAATTATTAATTTAATGATTTTGTTTGTTTGTTAAAAACGTGAGTGATTCACAATTGCATTTAACATATAAATTACTTCAAATGAAATTATTTGTCTGAAATACATTATATTTTTAAAGATTTATAACTATTTTTAAATAATACATAATAAAAGTAAAAATAATTAATATCTATAACAAACATCAAAAACATTTATCTATTAATTGTTTGTAACAGATATTATTACAATAAGAATAATCACATTCAATGAAATTGATGATAAATAATGAATCAATCAATATATAGGGGACGACAGTTAATATGGGATTATATTATCACAAAGTGGCTAAACTTAACTAATTATACATTATTATAAACATTTGGTTCAAAATTATGACTTTAATTTCATATTAAGTTTTTGATATTACGGTAATTGTCATAATATCTATGGAGCTTCACTTATTTTATTTAATAAGTTAGAAATGATATAATTTCAACAAATTATTAATAAAAATAACTAGTTTGTATAAATTATATTTTGTATATTTAAAAATCAATTAATTATATAGTGTAACAATTTTAAAATTTGTATATTTAATAGTATCATTATTGTCTACTGAAATGCAAAAAATACTGATTAATACTATTTTAAACAAAACTGAGCATTAATTTAATTAGTATTAACTATCAATTATTAATTTTCAAAAATCAAATTAAGTAGTATTATGAACAATGATAAAAATTGCCAAAATTTGGTTTCTACGGTATTTGGTTTCAATTATTTTTCATATAATATATATTGTATTATTGGGTATATTATTGTTTGAGATATTATTATAAGTGATGTAAAATTATTTGTTTTGTTTAGTAAATTTGGTGTTAAAAAATCCGTACGAAACGGATTCAAAATTACTTGTTGTCGGAGCAGTATTTGGTATAGCATTGAGTGGCGGTATAGACGGCACTGACACTTGTGCTGTCAATGGGTAAGAAATAGTGCGCTTGGCTTTAGTCGACCGTCGGTGTCGGACACCGCCGAAGCCACCTCTAGGAAGAACCATACGAGCGTTGCCCTGTGCGGGTCGGGAGCAGCCGTGAGCTATCAGCTCATTTAAATGAATAGCATAGCCCTCACTCAATATCTATTGATTATAATATTTATAAAAATATAAAATGAGACAAATAATATAGAAAAGTATGATAAATAAAATTCATATTTAAATTGTTTACATTTGCCATTGAATGCTGTTTTTTAGATACTTTGCCCACAATATTGATTTGTTCCGGTTTTAGTCCCAAAGATTGATAAACAGAAATATCTTTACTCGAACCATATGCTGCTTGAAATACGATCTCAGCCTTTAAAGCAATAATTTATAAATATATTAAAAATATAGATATAACTAATAAATTGTTTTCAATAACACAATTTACATCATTTTGAAGATGTCTTAAATGTTCAGCTTTATGTCGTAAAGGATCAGTTGATAAACGGTCCGCAAATGAGACCAATCCATGAGGAAAGTTATGTTGGGCGAGCCATGAGATGACTTTTTGCTTATTAATTTTGTATAAAAATTAGTTTTTATATAAAATATAATGCTATAAATATATGCTACCTGTTGCATATCTGGACGGCCAGTTATGTAAATTATAAGATAACCTAACTCTTGCCAATATCTTACGATATCTACAGCTCCGGCTCTAACTTTTGGATCTTTTCCAGTAACAGACATACTGGCAGTGAATGATCCGTCTATACTAAAGACTACGCATTCAGTTTTGGGCGGAACGACAGCCATATAAAAGTCAATGGATGTGTGGTCACCCCTTATGATAATATCAAGTAATTGTTATTTAAACTTTAATTAAAAATTTTACAAAATAATATATATATACTATATATATATATATATATATACCTGACTACAATCTTAACGGGATATAAACCAAGTGTAAATGACTTATCATCGGGTATAGTATATGCAAGTCTACCAGATTTATCAGTGAGTTCGGTAGCTAAATAAGTCCAGTCGCCTGATCGGCCATTTTTCATAATATGAATGTCCACTTTTTCTCCTGAAAGCGCTACCACATCGAGAGGACCGTACATAAAACGTGCAGATATTACTTGTGTTGCGCCCTCTTTGACAATCACATCATTTGCCCGATGATTGGCTGTTATGTTCTGAGTAAACAATACGTTCAATGGATCAATTAAAATGAAATTATAGGCTTAAAAGGGTATGGGTATGACATACTCGGCTCACCTTAAGCTTCACCGAAGTTCGTTTCTTTTGCCACTTTTCTCTCGGTTGACACGGAGTAAAACATTGGACATCTTTTTCAGTGTCCATCGTATTACTGCTCATATATTCGGATCTTGAAATCTTTATGTATAAAATTAAATTATTTAATAAAATTAATGCTTAAAATAATTTTGCTTAGCTTTACTTGTCTTAAAATAAATGAAATGACATCATTTGATTCCCAATAACTGGCGTGAAATAAATGGGGCAAAGCGTGTGTCGGGAAATTGTTAAGTCCTTCGGGACAATATAAGGCGTAATCAAGTCTTTTAGATCCCCACCACTTTTGGGTCACTATCGCATTAATAAACATTTATTATAAAGATTTTCATCTTTAAAAAATATTATTTTTAAATTGCAAATAAAATATAATTACGTGAAGTAATATTTGGTAGAGTTAGGGAATCAAAAGTCATAGAAATATTGCTGGAAATACTGGCTTCACTGGTCCGACGGCCACCCATTGTCGAGTAAGAGTGAGATACTTGAGGACTGGTGTCCGGTGCAAATAAATGACAATATGTTTGCAAATACTCGACTATTGTATTTAATAAAAATACATTTTTAATTGTAATATAATTTTTATAATATAAAATTATAAATTCAATTATTACGTAAATGTATGGGTTGTCCGTCGCCTAACGGATATTTCTGATATCGGGAAACATTGACGGGTGGAATGTGTGAGAATCTGGCGCTCAGCAGAGGCTCTAATCGTAAAACTGATGGATCGGTCGGATGGAACAGATTATAGATATGACTGCACGAAGGCTTTGGTAATGGACCTAATTATGATATAATGTATAAATAAATTATCGGTAGTCGTAAATGCATTCATAGTCTTACATGACTTGTCATCGATGGAAAGCATTTTCCTGAATGTGAGAACAAGTCCAAGAGGGGAACCAAACATAAAGAAATCGTTTATTTCAAATTCTAAGCGATGACAACAACTTTGGTCACTGGAACACGAGCTCCTTCTTCGAGGTAATGGAGCTGTCAATAGACGATGTGTTGCACTTTCATCAACAACTGTTGTTTCACCGGAATGTGAGTGGGATTTAAAATATGTTCGGTTTACTGGAATAGCATTTGATTTGGGAAATAATATCTTTGATTTACTTGTTTTTTCCTGATTTTCTTCAACATCTTCATTACCACTTCCATCACTTATAGATATCAATGGATTTTTATGACCAGTTAGTACAGGTTTGTTATGAGAATCACTCATTTTTTGAGTGTCTGGTAGATCAGGAATACTGGTTTCACTACCATATTGACTGCAAAGATAATTTGATCGACACATAGCATCAAATCCTATTACGGATCCAATGCTATCACCAATAAGACACACCTGACCACAAAAACCCAATCCTTCTTCGCTCTTTAAAAACTCACTATAGATATGATTTGTTGTGGATATTACTTTAGAAACATTCTCATAGTACTCATGCGATGAGATGGCAAATACTGGAAGTGCTCCAATAGGTATAGCATCGTATGTATGATAAACGCCGTCAATAGCTGAGGGCGACGCTTGAAAGCTATATGGACTCAAACTCGACAACACTACGAGAGCGTCGTAACAAATTGCTGGACACGAAACTAAACGAAAGGCTATTCTGCCATTAAGTCGTGGATAATGTTGTCGAACAACTGCTTCAAATGAACTCCGAAATGTCGTTATATCCGATGTCTTGTTTGAATTCAAATCAGTTGCAGCATCGAGAAGACTTCCGCCGTGTAATATAATAATTAGTATATCTGTTGGACAGGGAGTTGTATGAGTGGGTGAATTCGGCAGAGATGTCGTATCCACACTATTTCTATTCATAAAAGCTGTTTTGTGTTTCGAGTGCTCTGATTGTATGCGTTTAATGTATGCCTCAGAAAATATGTTATCAGCTTTTGAAGAGTTTAATAATTATTAAAAATTCAAACAACAAAATCATAGTTTATCTTACATTCATCGCCGGCATCGATACTTTGTTGCTCTTTAGGTCCCAAATCTGATGGTATGTATTCAAGTGAACTCCATTTGGTAATTGGACTGACATTTAATATTTCTAAATAATAATAACAAATAATATGCGAGAATTGCGGAGCAAATAGCGGTAATAATGGATATCAATTAATACCTTCGGCGTCATAAAACTCATCGTCAGAACTGGAATCTGAATTTCTAACAATACTTTCCATTCGTAAGTTAGCTATTTGTAACTCATAATCATCTGCTAGAATATCAACAAAAATGTTTAATATTATAATTTACTCTAAAGATTACGACAACAATATAAAAACCAATGCCTACAATGTAGAAGACCTGCTTTGGAACTACTTCTGGACCATATTTTTCTTTTGCCATCTTCTTGATCTTTGGAATGCTTGATAGTAAGCGGTGGATGTGTTATTGTTTTACATTTTGGAACTTCCATTGCAATAATTTCTTCGTATTGTTCATTATCTTTGTCTATAACATTCAGATCAATCTCTTGTCTCTCTGAAATTGTCTGACTATTGATCTGTTGTGTTATAGCATTGACTTCATTTGCATTTTCATTATTGACAGCCATTCTGTTCTTGAGATACTCTTGTGTTTCTTTCTCTAACTTTCTAATGTCAGCCATAGTGAGGTCGACCCACTCGTCCTGCCAACTCCACGCCTGTTTGTGTGCCCGAACCATAGTCTTACGCAATGCTAATAAATGCAATTAAGCAATTTTTATAATACAAATATTTATAAAAATAAATATATTTCTAATAGTATATTAATAGTATAAAAATTAATGCATATATAAAAACCTGAGTCGTGTATAAATTTTTCAATTTTGGTTTGCATTCCCCAGTACTTGAACTCAACCCTACAGAGTTTGTAGGCACACATAATGCACTTGTTTTTGCCTTTATTGCCATTTTTCAGTACATTCCAGTGCTCATCGACCCAGTTGTCAGACAACGGTCCCCGTCCTGTCTTCTCCGATACGTAAAACTTTGGATCTTCTTCTCTAATATAATCAGATGAGTAGAGCTGATCCTTCACAATATCGATAACATCTGTTTACAAAAATTATATTGTTTTCAAAATTATATAATAAATTTGTTAAAATACTAGAAAATATTATTCTGAAATCATATTTACCGACAACCCGTGACCTAACTTCTGAATTGCTTAATTCAAAAACATTTTCTTGATTTCCACAATCATTATAATATTTGGTCTCAATTTCAATGAAAAATTTCTCTACGAAAGGGCAGGTATAACGTGTTTTAGTGTATGGATAGGCATTCCAGGCCTCTTCTTCAACGGTCAGTGCAGACTTAGGTAACAATGCTTTGAGCCAACCTTTCATTTATTGAAAACAATAAATAATTTAAATAATAAATGACAAAATAATTTAAATTTTTGTTAAATACCTGGTAAATGATACCCTACGTGATATATCTTATGAGTGTATTGTCCAGAACCTCCCGGTCCCTCATCATATGGTTCATTAACAAGTATTTCGACACCACTTCCAGCGCCCTGTGTTTCTTCTTTGCTTTTTTTCTATATATATAATATGAATAATCATAACTCAAAATAATTATAAAAACTATTTTACTAAAAAATTCTTATATAAATCAAAAATAAAATAAAATATTTATATATTTAAAAAATTAATAAAATATAAATATTAGTTATATTAGTAGACATACGGCAATCATATAAAGTTGTGCCACTTTGTACTCGTCCACAGATAATGGCAGTGGTATTCGGAACTCTTTGATCAACATTTTTACCGATGTCTTGAATGGCACTCAAGTCATCAAATGTTGTATCCGTATCTGTAATTGTCATCAATAGTGTCATGAAAACAATTTTAGATATATAATTAGTTTATCATTTAATATATTTTACTAAATTAGTTATAAAAATAATTTATCGATAAATCTGTCGCTAAAATAAATGCTTTTAATGTCTAAATAATTGGCAAAACGGATGTCTTTGATAAATAAATAAAGAAAATCTAAAGAATATATTCTTAACAAATGAAGAATTAATATATAAAGTGCTTCACTCAGAGATATGTAATGCTCTCTCTCTCTCTCTCTCTCTCTCTCTCTCTCATAGCTATAGTTAGAGCTACTATTGAATCAATAGTATTGATTCCCAAAAACTACTGTATGTATTGATATGGGATTTATTGTATGACAAACACATACACATAAAAAGATACACAGCTCTGCAAAACCAACTGTTTTCATACAAACCATTACATCAAAGGATTTATCAAATACTTGACTAAATTCTTAGTATTAACTCTTTTGCTCTAATTGTTTGACTATACTATTGAAAAAAGAAACATTAAAATAAACAATAAAATAATAATAATATTATTACAGTATTTTCTATTTTCATTTTATGTCAGTTATTATAAACTAAATAAACCATTAAATAATTAAGTAAAATGTTTGATAAATTAAATCACAGATAATGTTATATTATCTTATATATGCTTTATTCGCAAAAACATATATATTATATATACTGTATTTCTATACCTATATTCTATACACTATGAGATAAGTACTACTAATAATAAATGAATACAAATATCCTGTTTATCTGTTTATTGTCTATCATTATAAATGTTTGACATTTTCTTAAATAATACATTAAATTTTCAACAATTTTCTGTCATTTTTCACTTTCATTAATGTAAATAACTCTACTGTTTGCCTGTATTTTAAGTCATTGTTTATATAACAAACTAGTAGTGTATTTAATACTTATTTATATAAAAACCTACAGAATATTCTCTATAATACTAATAACTTATATTTAATAAACATATCAAATATTGGCTGAAAAAATACAAAAATCACTATACAGTACACAAAGTTATAAATACAATAAGGCTTTAACAACGCTATAGAATATGATATTAAATATCAATTTACAAACAAAACCAATCACTTAATTAATAACTATTCAAAAAATAATTTGTAATAAAGTTTTATTATTATTTATTTACTCATGTTTTTTTAAATATCCATTTTAATAATTATAACGATTGTTGTAATTTTAATAATTTATATTATTATATCAATATATGATATCTAATATTAATAAATCTAATAAAATATATGTAAAATAATATAAAGTTATATCATATCATTATTTTATTGTCTGCAAATAACACTATAAACTATATGCCAAATAAATAAACAAATATTTAAAATATTAATTTTATATTATATATAATAAATGTTTTTAAAATAATGCAGTAATTAATATATTTATCATATGATTGAAAGCACAAATAATTTGAAATTAAATGTTTATTAAATTAACTTATAATAAGATATAAATCAAGTATTATATTGTAATATGATTTTTAAAAATTTGTTATAATGTAATAAATTATTATTTAATAATTAATTTATATAATAAATTTACCTCATTATTAAATACATGGTTAGTGTTAACATTTAAATCATATGATTGTTAGACAACAAACAGTAATAAATGACATATAAATGTTTAAAAGCCATTCAAAAACATAGGGTTTGACACTATAAGTCCATTGACAACATTATTGAGCGATAAAATACATCAATACATAAAACAATAGTTAATTGATTCATACAATAATTAGTAGTTTTAATAAAACAACAGTTAATTATAAGCATATTATTAATATTATTAATATTATTATTATTATTGAAAGCACTGTTACTCTCACACTATATAAACATTTCTAATGTAATGATAAACATATTATTCAATAGTATTATCGCTGTATTACTTGACAATCAATGAGAGCACTGTTCACATACTAGTAGTACATATAAACATAAATGTAATGCAAATGTCAAATGTCATACATTGTATAAATTGTTATTAATGTACAATCATTACTATAATTACTTATTGTTTATATATTGGATCAATTGATGACAGATTAATGACAATAATATGACTTATTTGGTGATTATAAGTAATAACAGCTGATTGTTGTCATGCAATGGATTACAATGAGTTGAATGAATCAATTGATACATACGTTATATACTAATGGCTAATGTTTTGTCAAATGGTTTGCAAAATGGCTGCCAATTGTTGTGTCAATTGTTTGACTCATTTGTTATATTAATGACATTTGAATTGCAATTAAATTAACCGTTGATTTAGTTATCACTTGTTATCAGTCAATCATTTAGTTGTTTGTCTTAAAATCGGACGTTTTATTTAATATATTTGTTTAGCGATTTGTTTTGCATGTCTTGATTGTGTGGGTGACAGTCATGTCCGCCATCGACAACATCTGCCAACTGAACACTGATCTGAATGGCAATGAAGACCACATTCATACCGTCACTGGTGGTCACCGTTTAGGACACACTAGAGATCAATTGACACCATCTGTGCTGAGGATGACTTCGACATCCGATTGCGCTATTAGTGTGACGACAGTGAAGAAGGCGAAGTACGGCACAACCTGTCTGTCGACAACACAAACAATTACTGCCAATCAGTACAACAACTCCGCCAACAACTCATTATTAGTTAATTTAAAGCATTCTTCCGAAGCCATACAACAGTGGACACAAACGGAAGACATGGACTCGTCTTTTGTTGACATGGATGTGACGAATAATAATAGTATTAAATGTAATAATAATAACATTAATTGTAAAGATAATGGTTTAGACAAATGGCTCAAAACTTTCTACAATTGGTCGCACAACGAGAGGATACAAGCGTTAGACAGTTTGGTCTCAACGGGCATTTGCGAAGTACAACAAATCAGACATTTGCTGACTTTGATTGAACCTCAGCTCCAAAGAGACTTCATATCATTGTTGCCAAAAGAGTTATCATTATTAATATTAGGTTATTTAGATCCAAAGGATCTGTTAAGAGCGTCACAAACGTGTCGTAATTGGAGGATATTATGTGAAGACAATGTTTTATGGAGAGAAAAGTGTCGCGAAGAGGGACTTCTCGACGATAATGAAAGTATCACTGACTTCTTCAAACGTCGTCTTGAGTCGAGTCGCTGTTCACTCATGTGTTCAACACCGACATCACCGCCGCCTTCAAACAGCTCATCACCAAAGCTGTGTCCCTTATCTCCAGACTCGCCAATGCAATCATTTGCTAGATCTGAGAATAAGATACGATTCTTGAGACAGAAAAATATTGAATATAACTGGAGATATGGAGTGTTGTCCACAGAAAAAGAGAGTACAACACCTACAGGAAGAGGTCGTCTTTTAAAGGAAATACTTTATCTCAAAGGACACGACGATCACGTTATCACATGTCTTCAGTTTAATCCCATCTCTAATTTAATTGTTAGTGGAAGTGATGACAATACACTTAAGGTGTGGTGCAGTGAAACGGGTCGCTGTAAACGGACACTCACTGGTCATACGGGTGGTGTCTGGTCATCACAGCTTTCATCCGATAATATCATAATTAGCGGCTCAACTGATAGGACGTTAAAAGTTTGGAATGCAATGAGCGGAGAATGTCTTCACACACTTTATGGCCACACGTCTACCGTTAGATGTATGGCATTGCATGAGAATCAAGTGGTCTCCGGTTCTCGTGACGCAACTCTCAGGGTTTGGGATATAAAGACTGGATGTTGTAATCACGTATTAACAGGACACGTGGCCGCAGTGCGTTGTGTCCAATTCAACGGTAAATTATGCGTTTCCGGTGCTTATGATTACTTGGTTAAGGTTTGGGATGTAAGTACTGAGACCTGTCTGCATACACTTGAGGGTCATACAAATCGAGTCTATTCTCTACAATTTGATGGATTACATATTGTAAGCGGATCTCTGGATACATCAATTAAGGTGTGGTCGGCAGCAGAAGGCACTCTTAAGCACACTCTTGTAGGACATCAGTCATTGACGAGTGGAATGCAATTAAGAGGGAATACATTAGTGTCTGGAAATGCGGACTCAACTGTTAAAGTTTGGGACATTACGACCGGTCAATGTTTACAAACATTGTCGGGACCTAACAGACATCAAAGTGCTGTCACATGTCTTCAGTTTAACTCACGATTTGTCATCACATCCAGTGATGACGGAACTGTCAAACTATGGGACCTCAAAACTGGAGAATTTATTAAGAACTTAGTATCGCTTAGTAGTGGAGGAAGTGGTGGAGTTGTGTGGCGTATCAGAGCTTCCAATACCAAACTGGTTTGTGCTGTCGGTTCCCGAAATGGAACCGAAGAAACTAAACTATTAGTTTTGGACTTTGATGACTACCAAGACATTAGGCAAACCAGGTTTGAGGAAATGGATACTACATTTGAAATGGACAATGATTTTGATAAAGATAATAATAATCTAATTTTACTTTAATTTTTTTGCTTATTTTAGTCAATAATAATTAAATTGTTTACTCATTTATAAAGAGAATAATTTCGTAAATCAAATACACTTTTGTGTAATTCTTTTATTTAATCGAAAATAAATACAAATTTCATTTCACACCACTTCCTGAAACACATTAACATATATTTTAATAAAGATTTTATTTTTCAAAAATTAACTATTAATCAAATTGTCCATTACTTATACAGTACTGTATATACATAATTATAATGGATATATTGTACTAAAGGTAATACTGTATTCAAAAATAAATTATTGGCAAAAATAACTTCAATAAAATAGATAAAAGATATATATTTTATTAAATTATTACTAGACTTGTTAGAGTTGTAAATTACATATATGTTTAATACAAAATTAATTATCGTAAATACCGGACATTTATATAAAATAATTTTTATTAAAAATTATATATCGGTTATTACAAAATAGGTTCACATCTATCTATAAATTAATTACTGGTAATCAAAATCTGATATAATTTATAATATATTCAAAACGAAAAGACATCAATATATGGGGTGAATATTTCAAACATATCTAATAAAATATGTGTTAAATTAAAGAAAATAAATTTAAATATTTTAGTAGTATATTATTAATAATTAATTTCAAGACATTATTTATCTTAAAATAGCAATAATATATTATATAATATTAATTTTTAAAAAGTATATACAATATGTTTCATCATATAATTCATTTCATTTTTAATGACATAATGTTTGAATTAATCTCAAGTCGTTGTTATTAAACATTTTTTGCAAATATTTGCTAATTTAATAATTTTGTATAAAAACGAATGTTTTATAGATTTAAAAATTATATATTTTTTGTAAAAATGTAGTAAAAATGTAGAAATATGTGTTTTTGAGAATTTGTCAAAAAAAATCTTTTTTATATGATTCTGATAGATATCGATTCACAGATTAATATATTTAACCGCAAAAAATATGTGTTTCACATATTTTGATGTCTCTAATAATAGTGAGAGTAGTTTTGTCATTTGGGATAGTATTCTGTTAAACAGGTAATCGACTCATTAGTTTATATTAAATATATGATAAACCATACATTCAATTTAAAAATGACCAAGGGCATAACTCTAGATAATATTAACTATAAAATTATTTAAAATTAACTAGATAATAGTTTCACTAGACAATTATTCTATGTCGATGCTATTATATAGTTAATTTTACAATTAATTAAAAAATGATCAAGTACAATAATATTGAGTTTAATATTATCTATAATATGGTTTCGGTGGTCATCACAACACAACACCTATAAGAAAGAGTGTCAATCAATGGTAATGCTATTATCTGGTCAAACAAACATTGCATTTAATAGTAACCAATGGCTAAGTTAGAGATAAAATTATAATAAATAACATTTTAATTAATTGTATGATTGTTCAGATAATTATAATTATTATTTAAACAATTGATTGCAATTATCTGTTCAATTATACAATTAATTAAAATATAATTAATTACACTGTTATTGATTATATCTATAACTTTGCCATTTGTTAGTTTTAAATTCAATGTACGATTGATCAGATAATTGTAGTTAATATCATTGCCGCTGTTTAAGACTGCACTTATAAGTTATAAAACTACCGCTATATTGATCTCAATAACTATAAAACTGCATTAGTTTTGATTACCGTCCGTAACCGTAAACAGTCCCTCCCTAGACATCGTGGGCTATATGTGAAACTATGCGGAAAATAAGTGATTTACAGTCAAATACCAAATGTTTAATTTCATCGATTATCAAATTATTGAAAATATTTTAATATATTATAAGTTTTTTTTAAGTTAATGTCTGTAATTACTCCTTAAAAATGCTTGTTTTCAATGATCAAACAGTTTCTAATAATAATCATTTAATTGTATTTAACAGTAATTTGTAAAAATTAAAAGTACCGGTAATTATAATAGTGATTGTGAACTACACTGTATAATATAATCTACATTACCTGACAAACAGTGATTGAAATCAATTATTTGTTTAATAATATAAAAAATTTCAATAAATGTTTTATTTTATTTATTTGACGCGAATTTGTATTATCAGTATAACAATCATAGCTAGTGACCGGTCTTACATATTATTTCATCCCCCAATCATTTCCTATCCCCACGACTTGACATATTACCCCAATGGTGGGTATATGTAAGTTACAGTCCCAAACCAAATGTTAATTTTAAAAATTTAAAATTGTTTATCGGAAATGTTTTCGCTTACATACAGTAGTTTAATAATGACACAAATCATACAAATTTTACAAAATGTCTAAATAAATGTTGAAAATCGTTTATTAACTATAATATATTATTATTATCTTTAAATAATTAATCAAACAGTAATCAACTAAAATATATAATAAAAATGATTTGCAAACAATAGTCATTTTATTTGATAATCTAATTTTAGCATATATTGTATTTTCATTGTCTAGTCATATATTACTACACGAAAATTAAAACCACGTTTTTAAAAATATATTTTTGCAATAAACAAAATAAATAGACAATATTTTTATTAGAAATATTAGTATTTTATTTAGTGATAAAATGTTCATGAATTATACGACAAATGTATATTTTGTCGGCAACTACTGTACAAAATGAATACAAATTTGAAATCATTACTCGTTTAAAATAATTTGTTAATATTTATAAATTAATTATAAATGTAAATATTTAAAAAAACATTTTAAGCTACGGTAATCTTTAAATAAAATTAAATAAGACATCAATATTAAATAATTAACGCTTTAACCAAATCGGAAAAATATAGAAAATATATGAATTGATTCGTTAGTATGAAGTGATGAATAATTCTAGACTTCTATTACTAAAATGGAAAAATAGAAAAAATAATAATTAATAAGAGATTAATTATTATACAATATTATTATTTAAAAATTCAAATATGAATCAATAAATGTGTCCAAAAATTAGCGGTAATAATCATGGTTTGCATCAATAAATAAAAAAAAACTTTAGTTTTAAAAACTTATAAATTTAATAAATATTAAAACGAGTTCCAAATTTTAAATTTCTAATTCATTTTGCAAATATAAATACATATAATTCAAATTAAAGCAAATAATAAAATAATGGACACATGTTTTGTTTGTTAGTTCGCATTAACTATTTTTATAAGTTAAAGATATATCCTATCGATGGACAGGTATGAGTGTGTGTCTCACCGTAAAAAAGAATTTAGTATTAGATTTCTTGACTCTTGCGGACACATTGAGCCACTTTTTTCTTGAAACTTAAGAAGCTTTCTCGCCATTCCTTCTGTTTAATCGAAAATAAATTAACAAAATTATTAAAACACAAATCAATTTCAATCATATCTCGTGACTGACCGCTGCGTCTACATTGGCGGGTGACTCATCATTAGGGTCGGCCAACATAGATATTACAGATATGAGAATTGTCTCAACGGTATGCACGGGTAGCCAACGTTCCGATGCCTTTTCGTAGCCGTATTTATCGTCTCCCGGCTCATGGAGTATAGATATACATACGTCTCCGTTTTTGTCGACTATTATAAGAAAACAATCATTTGTTAAACAAATGGTCAATAGGTCGGTGTACTCACTGTTCGGGTGCCATATTTCGGTTATGAACCTCATCTTAGGTGGTCTTAAAGGATAATCTTTGGGGAAAGTTAGCTGTGCTTTAAAGAAACCGCCCTCACTGTCAATCACAACAAATCAATAAATAATTAGACAATTATAACATCAAATAGTCATACTATACATACTATAGTGTGTCCGGCGGTCCAATGATGAGCACTTCCCAGAGGTAGATATCATCGTCATCGACGAGACCCGCAGAAAAGCCCTCCACAGGATTCTTCTTGAGGTCTATTCGGGTCATAATAACAATTAGTTAATCAATAACTAGTATAACATAAGCGGAGGAATTGGTCTTAAATCAGACGACAGAGAAAGCACTGAATGCGTAGTAATGGCTCTCAAGTGAAGGATTAGTAATTCAATCAATTTCTCGATATTTGTCAAAGACTTACCATTTAGTTGTTTTCTGAGCAGAAGTGTCGACTGGTCTGTCATATCCGTCACAATGGCATCAATCGGCGGTAAAGTTGGTCTATAAAGTAATGGCCAACTTATACGACACTCTGTTTGTATGATTTGTATGAATAGCAGTCAAATGTATGTATACTATGGCTATAGATATCTATGTATTAACAGTCACTTCAATGTATGAAATGTATGAACAATACTAACAAACACTTTAACACTCAATGCCAGTACTGAACGCACACTACAGTACAGTATAACTACAGTTCAATGCCTAACACCAGTGCCCCCACTCTATGCCAATGTTGTACCCCTTATTCAAGTCAATGCATTGTCTCATATCATACACTACTATACAGATATAACAAACACTTGCTATACATCTAAACATACGATTTCAATGAGACAGACCATCAACAGTGTGTCACTGACCACCAGATGACACCATTAAGTATACAATCACCAGTCAAACCAATTAAATAATAGTAATAATAGTAATAGTAATAGTAATAGTTAGTTAATAATAGTTAATAATAGTTAATAATAGTTAGGTATTCTCATCATTAAAATCATTATATTAAATATTTCAAGTTTTATATTTGTCTATTAATAATTACTTTATGTATTGTAAATATTAATATATTCTATAGTCAATAGAATTATAGAAATGTCCCTGGATCAATCATCAATATAATTTAATAAAATAATATTATATTGTAATCATATTTATTTATCTAAAAAATTAATGCATTTTTTATAAAACATGATAATTAACATAAAAACGTAATTGTAAATAAATATTAAGCAAGGTCATTTACGTATAAAAATTATTTATTATTATTATTATTATTATTACTAGTTATAATGACAAAAATAAATTAACCATGAACATTTTTTTTCATTTTAAAATGGACTTTGTTTGACGGTTAGTGACACTTATATAGAGAGTATTAGTATTAATAGTCAACTATTGCCAGTTCATGTACTGTACAACATATAGGGGTTAATAACATGTTTAAAGTCAAGTTTGAGCTACAAATCAGTGAATATAATCCCAGATATCATTAATTATTTATTGATTTTTTATATAAAAATAAAATATCAAACAATTTATTCACAAATTTTATTTAGTATAGGATATTATAGTATGACTAACAAACATCTCAATTATTATTATTATTGAAATTTAATTGAATATAAATTATTGTGCAAAAAAAGTCGTGAGAAGTTTCATAAAATATATAACAATAGAGATAACATAATAAACAATTGACTTTTTATACATTTATTTAATTATAAATTATTTAATTGTAATACCTATACAATATAAAAAAATTAAATAATTTTAAAAATTAAGATAAAAAATATATAATTAGTAATTATTAAGTAATCAATAAAATATATAAGTGTTAATAAATATAAATTGCTTAAATATTTATGTAAAATAAATATGAAGTCATATTATTTTAAATATAAATGCTATCATCAATTTAATAGTAAAAAACAATTTTTATAGTACTATACAAATTGATACAAACAAAGTTATATAACTTTGTAATAAAATTGCTCAATTAGCAAACTAACCGGTATATAAATTTATATATCAAGAAAACTACAATTTTATCATTAAATCACTATAGTATTTATATTTCAAAAAAAATCAAAAGTATTTTAATTATAGGAAAAAAAGTTTTTTTTAGTTAATAGAAATTATTGACTGCATTGGTATTTCACTTAAGTTTTTGCATTACTTTCAATAACACCCAAAATTAGTGAGACATTCATAAAATTGTTACTAAAAGTGGTTTACTTTGAGAGCCCTATCATTGAAAATCAATGGCCAGTTGTGTATGTCATCTGTGGTGACGTTATATAAACAAAACGTATGACAAATGTATACACTTTTACTAATTTCATAATTTTTGAGACAAATATGATATATATATATAAAAACAAACAAAAAAATGTTGATTTTTATCATTGAATTGATAAATATTTTTACGACACTTTTATTATGATTTTGTTGTTAATTTGAATTATAATATTTATTATGAGTTTTATTAGACATTTAAAAGATAAGTCAAATGACGTGAAATACTTATAACTAAAAAAAAGTGTCAAATGTTTGGCAAAACTACTTAATGACTGAATTCAATGAAATGATGTCTTCGTTATTATCACTAAATCATATCAATTAAGTCATAATTCAAACCATAACTCATGACATATACTCAATGATGTCAAGAGAGACACCACTCATGTCTTTGTCATTATATCCGCGTTGAGTGCCATTCAATAATCTGTAGATTGTCTTCTTCTGTGTTGATCTACTATCACCTCAAAGTCATGTCAAAGAGCAGAAGTAATCACTCGTACACACCATTAGTGTCGACTCCAAGATTTGATTCGCGACTATTACTGAGGGCTTTGATTGCCTTTAATATTGTTTTAGCAGTTTATAACATAATCACTCTTCAGTCGACAACCACTTCCAGTAAATCCAATCCTTGTCTTATTGTTATCAATACATCCAAACAAACGGCTACTAATCACAAAGTATTTGATTATTTATAATATAATATATAATAGTTTTTTGATATATAATTATTGACAATGATTTGATTGCAGAATGAATCGGATGAAAGTGTGGTCAATCACAACATCAATCCGACTGACAATAAAGAGAGCAAACAAATTGAAGGCATAATTCAAGACAATAGTGATTCACTTTTAGATAAACAAAGTCTTTCTTCGAATACAATTGAAGAACAATTGGTTGATTCAAACGTTGATAAAGAAGTAGCCATTTGGTGGTCAACCGAAACTCGCGGGTCATATACTGTGCTTAAAAATTATATACCGAGCAGTGAAACACCTGATAGGATGAGGAACGTAACGCTGACAACTCAGGGCACGTATTCATTCCTCTATCACTTGGAGAACCTCTGTATCCGATGGGACGGCTTTATCTCTGTCGGTGTCTACGCTCCTGGTCTTGACTTTCCATTAGCTGTCAATTTGATATATTATCTCCGCAAATGTGGTCACCAATGTGTTAGTGCTAAGACTACGTGGCATATGGTTTACGATAGTCTACACAGTCCTCATTCCAACACTTCTTTGCCCTCCAGTTATGTAGAGGACATGAACTTTGATTGTTTGCAGTCTTTTGATAATATTGTCAGCAAATTCAATACAACCTTCAGGAGTGATCATTCTCTTCCATATCCAATAAATGTTGTCCGAAATGTCGCTCGACTTAACTCACAAACAAAATATATATTTGCTTCCGATATAGAGCTCTATCCCAGTGTTGATATTGTTTCGGGTTTTATGCGATTACACGATAGGATTAGTTCAGGTTTAGTGCCTAACATTAACTTAACTCATCCACTCGTTTACGTGATTCCCATCTTTGAAGTTAAGGCTAACATTGAGCCACCAATGAATAAGTCTCAGCTTAAGACTCTTATAAAATCAGGTATAAGTGATAAATAAATATTATATATAAATTATCGGTAATTAAATTGTATTTAAATATTAAGGTAATGCCATATTTTTTCACAAATGGGTTTGTGATGCCTGTCAGAACTTTCCCGATAGAGATAAGGTATGTATCGTTACTTAGTTTTACGTTTTATTGAATTATATAATTAAGTATACAATTATTTTTGTTTTGTTTTTTATTAGTGGATTGATGTGATTTCCGAAAATAATTCATTGAATATATTTCGGGTCACTCGTAGGACACGGACACGAAATTATTGGGAACCTCTATATATAGGTACTAACGATGAGCCACTTTATGATGAGAGACTCACATGGGATGGCAAACGGGATAAAATGTCACAGGTTTGCTATTTATTATTTTATTATATTTTTTATTTAAAATAAGTTAAATTAGTTATAGTGTTGTAGATATTGGTAAATACAATAGTTTTATTAATATTAATAATATATTTTGAAAAAATGAAATACCGGTAATTATAAATATTTTTGTTTTAATTAAATTTTTTACGCAATACTGATAGATGTATGAGATGTGTCTTCGAGGCTATGATTTGGGTATTTTAGACAACGCTTTCTTAGTTCACGCGCCGGGTATTAAACATATCGATCCTAAAGAAGAAAAAAAACGATTGCCTTTTATTAAGAGAAATAATATGATATATAATACAATACTCGCAAAACTTAGAAGAAAATATGGCACTAAAAACCAATGTTAATATTAAAATATTTACAATTATTATTATTATTATTATTATTATTATTATTATTATTATTAGTACAGTACATGGTTTCATGTTTATGTTTGATGAGAGTCTATTTTATTTGATTTATGATATTTATTTATTTGACTATGTTGCAAACTTTTTGATCAAATAATTTGTTTATTGAACAATGAATACATTCAATTTACAAAATCAATTGTGTTTTTATGATTTACAAGTATTCAAATACAATTACGGTACACAATAATCATCATAATGAGTGTCAATTTTAATATAATTAACATATTATCAATACTACCGGTAATATATTACTAGTGATAATAAAACTTATATACCGGTAAAGAAACAATATAGTAATAACAATACTGTAAATTGATTGTATAAAAAGTTTGCAATTACCAGTAATATGACATAAGTCAATACATACGGTAAAGAAAAAATATTATTCATAAACATAAATATGAAACTATGTATTTATTTTTTATATAAATTACATTTTTACTCAATGACTGACTCAATCTATTCATAAATTAATTTATTATCAATTATTATAATTTAGGATTATTTTTTAAATTGTTAGTGACTTTTTTTTGGTTATGTTGTTATATTTATTCTATCATATTATTTATATAAGTTTGTTGAGGTTTAACATTTTTCATAAATGTTTTATTTATAAATATAAACAATACTGAAAAAAATGTAACAAAAAGTGATATATTATATTATAAAATAAAGGTTTGGTTTTTTAAAAATATAAATTTAATTTTTACTAAAAAAATTAAAAAATGTTAAAATAGTCAACTAATAGATGGTGTTTCCTATAGTTATATATAGACTACAGTACTGTATACTACAGCTAGGCAAAGTAAGAAAGTTATGACAAAAATTATTTATTTCATATATACAATATAAGTAGATTTTAAGTATACAAAAATTTGTTATATTTGTAATTTTATGATAATAATTGTTATAATTGTTATTATTATTACTATTAGTACTATTAGTACTATTACTAATCAGGGGATTTAGCATAGAAGTGTGAAAATATTATCCACATATAATATGTGACCATATTGTATTAGTACTAATAATTTATTAGTGTTGTATTAATACAATTTTTTTGTTATAAATTTAAATAAAATTTATTTGATATAAAATCTTTGTATGTAAATAATAATCCATTTATCTGTATATATTTACTTAATTATTTAATTTTTTTTCTTACTTACAAATGCCCAGCTTTACTGTATACTTTACTACAGTATTAATAATACAATAGTGCTCTACAGGTATGTATGAAAATGCTTTTCTATTGCATACAAGTGTGTAAAGGCATTGGATTGTATGTAACTTATAATATAAAGGTATGCATTATAACTAACGACAGGTGCGATTGGCCTCTCCTCTCCTCTCCTCTCAATTGTTGTGTCTCTCGCTCTGAGACTGTTATTCACAGGAAATATTCACATCCAGTCAGTAGACTGTCCTCTCTCTCCCGCTTTCTATTCATGTGTTGTTTCCTATGAATATTCAGTTGTCTCGTATAACATATGTTATCAAATGAATATATTTGTGTCATGCCTTTAAAATCTTGCCACTTATGGACCTAATTGGTGACAAAAAATAGCTAAAAACTATTGTTTTCATTATTTTTGAACTATTTGTCGATATATTTGTGGATATCCAGTGCTAAGCAAAAGTTTTGGAAATTACAAACAATTTTATCAACTTTTGGCAAAATTTAGATAACAAGTAAGCAAATAAATTCATAATTTTAAATAACTTGTATGTACTAAGATATTTATATAATTGTCAAATATTTTATGTAAATTAATATAAATTAATTTTATATTGTTTTTATAATTATTAAATGTATAATTTTATGAATTTAATATATTATTATATAAGATAAATCATAAAGCTTTTATATTAGAAGAACAGTTTACAAATTAGAGTAATATATAAATATAATATAATTTATATTTAAAAAATATAAATGATTTAAGAGATGACATAATTGAAAATAATTGAAATATTCAATACAATGTGTACTTTACTTATTATAATTAAAATCATTTATCATTAAATAATATCATCGCAAACTATGAGAAGCAGACAATTACTGTTTTTATCGTTTTGTATTCAATGAATAATAGTTAACAATAGAGTTATTGTCTCAATATTGTAAATCATTTGAATATAACTGTATATTCAAACTCATTGTTTATTCATTTTTTCAATCAATAAGTTTTGTGTTACATCTCTGAACTGATATCTGAATACATTATTATATAATCTTTACTAATAACAAAAAACTGACTCAAATAGTTATAATAGTATAATATAATCATTTACTCGTAAAGAAATATGAATATACTATTTATTTGAATTATAATAACCGATTCAATTATGAAAGCAAATTTAGTTTTATAACAATTTAATCAATACAATAGACTTATGTTTTTGATTGATATCATTTAATACCATTAATATATAAAATTCTAAAATTTAGTTTTCAAATATTGTTTCCATTGATTTTGTTTGACGTCTAAATTATGATAACTTAAGTAACATTTTAAGATATTAATATATAAATAATATTTTATTTAAACCAATATTTTTTACTTATTCAAGCAGTTAACAAATTTTTTTTACTAAAAATATTTTTAAATTGCATGAATTATGAAATATATCAATAGATTTTAACATTAAAAATAATATATAAATTATTTATGAATTGCATTTAATGAGATCTTTATATAAAAATATATTTTAAAGTGAAACAAAGCGAATGAAATTATTTTTTATTGTATTACAAGTAATATTACAATAATATATATATAAATACTTTATTTCCTCTATTATGTCCAAAACTATATTTCTATTAAATAATTTGTGAAAATAAGGAAAATTTTAAAAATACTTATATTTCATTCAAAAAATGTCAGTTTTTGCGGTCCATTGAGATTCACAAGTTTAATGTCATCACTAAATACCATTTCCTTCTTTATTATTATTTATCAAATTTCAAAAAGGCATATAAATATAAATTTTATTAACTCTGGAAAAATTGAAAAATAATAACAATATAATAACAATATTTATAAATTTCTAATTCACTTAACAATTACAATATAATTCATACATTATTTGATTGCAACACAAATAAAAGTGAATTATTAGTAATTTATTAATTAAATGAAGGCATTGAAGGCGTTGTAAAAAATACAATGACTTTTATCGGTTATTCTCACGAAAAGTCTCTCAACTGTTAATTATTTTAATGAAAAATTCATTATTAAAATTATTTGCTCTCACATTCATCATAACTATAGTCTGAATAAAGTAAAAATAATTTTCCCTTTTTTATAACTTTTTTCATAACTAATTTAAATATTGAAACAGTCTTAACATTTTTTAACAATGATTTAATTCAAATCTTATAGATATTCAAGACTTTTGCTTTAAAAATGTAAAAATTAAAAAAAATTAAATAATGTTTATACTATACTAATATATTTTGTTTATATTTTCAAGATTACAATACATTTTATTATATAATGTATTTTTATGTAATTTATAATAACTTAAACAAATGGAGTACAAATAATATAAAATATTAAATTAGATAAAATTTTAACTTTGATTTATTTATTTAAATTAAATCGTAAATTATAAAACATTATACACAATATTATAATTAAATGAATGTATTAGATGTTAAATTACTACTAAACATATAATTTGATAGCAAATAGAGATCAACCAAAATGTGTTAAACTAAAGGAAACAAATGAATAAACAAATTAATCAAAACATAAATCTCTTGAATGGCATCGCTATTAAAGTTTTTGAGTTTAATATTATATATTTTTGAGAGATATTTATGTACTATATGTTACACAGCTATTGTTTTATTTAACAAAATATAGCGGTATATAAAAAACAAAACAAAATAAGGGTATCTCTTGAGATATCTTTAGATTTCTTATGTTTAACTAAATCAAATGCAAGAATAAAATTGTGTATAATTTGAGCAAAGATTATGAAAAAAACTACGAGTGCAGAGCACTGGCATTACTACACACCCACAGATATGGCCCGTTAGCCGACTATTCAACTAAATGTAATAATAATAAAAATAATATAAATGATTATATGATATGGCATACATACATATCTCATCATTTTATGGTACATTAAATTTTCTAATTAATTTCAATGTATTTTTATATGAATTTTTACTCAATTTATATTTAAATTAAATATTGGTTTAAATCTGCTGATTATATTTTTATTTTGATTAATTGATCATTATTTTTATGAAATTAAAAAAAATTTTTTATTGCATGTATATAAAAGATTGCAAAAGTTATCGATATTAATTTGCAGACCATTGAAGTGGATGTAATCATTATATTGTTTTTTTATTAATATGAAAATTATGAAAAAATAGAGAATAAATAATATAATAGTTTATTGATATTCATAGACTAGTTTATAGTTAGACGTGCTGTTAGTTAGTCACAACAGTAATGTTTTGTTTGTTTGGTTTGGTTTGGTAGGGGAAAGGGAGGATAGACAGGTGCTTCATAAAGGAACATCAATAGGCTTTTATTTTACAATACGCTATATTATTATCAATCAAAAACTCTGTTTATTTATTTACCACAAATCACAATAACTATAAAATAGCATTTAAATAATAAACAATATATTTTTGCAAAGTGATATTATAATGTTATTTATTGTTATTATTATAGTTTAGTATACCGTATAAGTTAAATATGGTTTTAAGCTAAGATTCATTTTTATATTATAGATTTCATAAGTCGTGACCATTAGACTTACAAAAGACTATTTTGTGTTTAAGTTAAAATATTTATCGCTTTTTGTAATTTTTTTTTTGATAAAATATTTGCCGAAAAATTTAATCATCTACTTATTGTATCCAAATAACTTTACACTCAATTTTAGAAAATGATTTTTATCTTATTTTTTGAAAAAACTTACAATATATTT